ATCGTAACACTTTCGAATATCGTAACACTTTCGAAATATCGCAACACTTTCGAAATATCGCAACACTTTTAAAATATTGTAACACTTTCGAATATCGTAACACTTTCGAATATCGTAACACTTTCGAAATATCGCAACACTTTCGAAATATCGCAACACTTTTAAAATATCGTAACACCTTCGAATATCATTTCCATAAAATTACGAATACACAGTATATCTCGATTTAGCAGATTTAAGGGTTTAACGGATAAAATTTCAAAACCCAATCCATTTATAATTGTTTTATCTTGATTTAACGGATTTAACGGATTTTTCATATATTAGATATATTCGATTTAGCGGGAGGAGGGTTAATTCTAATATGTTCGACCATAATAAAAATATCTCGATACAATGGATAATATCGATCATCAACTAATACAAGCACCAAACGTAATTAATGATGAAATTCGAATTTATTCTAAATTAGAAAATAAAAAAGATCTTTTCTGATACAATACGTATGATGTAATTTTTTGATAGATTTGTAATAAATTAGGAGGATTATTTTATGAACGAATAAATTATTTATTACTTATTATTGTTACATTTTATTATCATATGTATATTTTATTTGTCGTATATATTATATTTTTTTAATCATATTATTTATTTTTTTTTTTTTTTGCTCACCAAACATTTTATGATGATCATGCCATTCTTGGAATGGGTTAATCGTACAATGATTGATTCAGCCATGGATGGTGGTGTGACCCACTACCCAAAACTGTGACCTGCCACCTTGGGGTCTGATTCATTTCATCGACAATCATTTCGTCGACAGTCATTTCGTCGACACCCATTTTGTCGAAAGTTTGTTTCGTCGAAAGTTTGTTTCATCGAAAGTTCATTTCGTTACAAAAAAAAAACAAATTTCTTCTCACACTTCCCACACACTCCGCTTTCCTCACCTAATTTCTTAACTAGCTTCCCACACTCCTCACATCTAACTCGTTCGGTCTCTGGCTCGAGGATGAAATAATTTTCGACGAAATGAACATTTGATGAAACAAACATTCGACGAAATGAACATTCGACAAAATAACATTCGATGAAACAAACTTTCGACTAAATGGGTGTCGACGAAGTAAACGCGACCGAATTTGAATTGAAGCGCAGTTATTTTGCATTAAATCACAGCTAAGGCTCTGGAAAAAAACCAGGAAAGCTGGATATAATAATAGTTCACGTGATGAAAGTGAATGACTCAATTGGTTAAATTGAAACATTCATTGCATTATTTCCAACAATAAATTATCTCGAGCATTTTCAAGTTCATATTTGTATTGGGTTATTTTTTCTAAAGAAGAAAAGATTACAAACTTCATATTGATATACATGTGTAAAACTTA